CTGCTACTGCTACTGCTACTCCTCCTACTCTCCTGCTGCACGCTGTCCTGCTGCTGCTGCTGCTGCTGCTGCTGCTGCTGCTGCTGCTGCTGCTTGTTTCTTCTGCTAAAACTATTAGTACTAGTACTCCTACTCGGCCTCCTGCTGCTACTCCTCCTCCTGCTGCTGCTATGCATGGTGATTGCGGGGAGGCCGTTGGATGCGGGTGCCCTCCTTCCAAGTTTCCCGGCAAGTGTGGCGCCGCTGAAGCGGCCTGGCTGAAGAGTCCGAGATGTGTTGGCTTCTGGGTCTTGGCGGCTGTTGCTGAATCCACCAGCTTGCTGGAATCTCGGGGAACAGGGCTCCCCTTGGCAGTTGATCTCAGCCTGACCTCAGGCTGTCTTCGCTGCACTTGAACTTCGAACTGGGTTCGCAGGCTCGTCATGGGAGTTTTGAAGTCGCATTTGAGTTCCCGCTGGCGAGTTTGCACCCTGAGAATCGCTTCAACGCAACTTGGTGTCACGTCTATCCCATTCCTGCTTTCTTCCACGTGCACTCAGGATACCCTTCTGCAGCTCATTCCTAGTCAGCACTGGTCCACCCTGAGCAGGATTTGGCGCACGCCTTCCGGTTCTCGAAGGACACCCCCAGGACGGCCCTGTGTTCCAGGCACACGAGGCTTGGCTTTTTCGCTTCGTTGAGGAGGCGACGCCGCTGTCCGGATTCTGGCTGATTCTCACAACAAATCCAGAACTTGTACGATAGCGGTCCTGTCCCTTCCCGGCCGTCCCCTGCTTGCTATGGCCCAAGCCCACAGTCATGCTGGCATATGATTGCTCGCTCACGCGATAAGGAGGAGTTCTTGATGTTTCATTATGACGTAGGACGGAACAGTGACTGGTCAGAGTTGAATGACGGATACAAGCCTTCTGACGCTATAAGGTGCCGCGATTGAGGCCCAGCTTAGCACGACAGCATCCAATCCAAAAAGGGGGCGCAGTGCAGCAATTCGATAGAATTGAGGCACCGGAGCACCGCATCAATTATTATGCAAGTTCTTTAAGTTCTCTCGGGAGCAGAACAACACTTCAAGAAGTCACTATTTAAGCAGGGAGCTGTCGCATGATCGCATGAGTGCACGTCTGGTCGTTTACCATGCCGTGCACCTTGGACGCGTGACGACTCCCTTTGATTGCAGCCTGGGACACAGTCTTCGCTGTGCATGTAGCAATTTGCTGACCTAGTGTGCAGATGCAGCACAGCAGGTCGATGTCTCTAGTCTTTCGTCATCAGGGGCCCCTTTTAGCTTGGATACGACTTTCCATGAGCTGCCGAGGACATGTCAGGCGATGCCAGCTCATCCAATGGCACCGAGGCCGGGTTTGCGGTAAGGATGCGGGCACCGGGTGGCGAGCATAGCGAGACGTCGGGTAGTGGGGAAGCCCTTGTCCTTCCAGCTTAGAACCTGGGCTTCAAGCCTCGTCCGCGCGTGGGGCAGCTTCAGGTTGGATGCTACAGCTTGAACTCAGGTTCGGAGCTTCGACTTCTTCTGGATCTTCTGCTCCACTTATAAGGATGCAATCCTGAAAGTCTTGCAGCAAAGCAGGCTAGCCTCGACTCCAGACACGATTCGCCGACATACTCTCTTTAAGGTAGAGAGGTGCCGTCACACAACGACTCAGAGCAAATAACATGTGTACATGTCTGGAGCACAGCGCCTGCTACACTGTGTGCGACCGCTACATGACTGAGGGGTCAGGTTGTCAAAGAAACGGCCATCACCACCACTGCGTGAAAAGGGGCAGTGCGCACAGCGCGCATGCTGTTCGGATGCATTGGCAGAGAGCCTGTTGTGAGTTTTTTGAGAGGGACGGACTGTGAGCGGCTGGGCAAGAACTTGCCTTTAGATCTGCACGGCAGATTCAGCTGGTTCGGCAACTGATACCAGACGTCTGTCTCTTTGATCCGCAGTTTGTGTTGCACAGGCAGTTCATTGCCGTTGTTCCCTTTGTTTTCTACACGATGTTCTCCTAATTTGGATCACAATCCTAGGTGCCTGCAGTTGCACTTCCACCATGTTTGCCTCAGCAGAGAGCGGGCACATGTCGTTCTTCTTCAGCGATCATCGTTCCTTGAGTTCGCGGCTCACACGGCTCATATGAAAATAGTCGTAGCGTCTTGGGTTTGTGGATTCATTCCGTTCGGGGTGACCGCTGAGAGTAGTTCTCATCATCAGGATCCTGTCGAAACGTGTTGATGGCTCCCCAAACCGGCGCCAAACACTGGAAAACGGGTTTGTAAAGAATTTCTAGCCTCAACACCTTGGGAATTCAAACCTCCAATCCCAAAGCTCCAAGACCCTTATTGCCCTCATCGCGCCCTTGCAGAACCCCTTTAGCACCCTTATGGTACCCTTGTGGTACCCGAATTCCCAAGGGATCCCACGCCCGAAACTTTGAAGTTGGTTGAAACCGAGAGGCGCGGTCGCAGAATTTCTACTCGGCGGAGTCGCCCTTACCTCGGCCAGGGGTGAAAAGAAAACCTGGGTTGAATTTTTGGACACTAGGACGAAGGGTTTTTCACGACCTGCAGGGATTGGATACTGCTTGGTGTGGAGAGTGTTGAGCGTGTGAGAGTTTGCCGCAGAAGGGCGTAAGGTTCTGTCGAGCTTTGGTGTGTTGCGGGTGGCACTGCAGGGTTTAGGTCTTAAGCTTCATGGCTTTGGCATGAAGCTTTCTTTCCTGCGGTTTTTGAGGGATCTGAGCGCTTCCAACTACGCGACCTAGACACAGCATAGTCCGCGGAAGATGGGATCCTGCGGCCGAAGCGGAAAACCACCGGAAAGCTGAAGAGCGGCAAGTCCACATCTCCCACAAAAGTGAAGCCCCGCCCCGACTTAAGCAGGTCATTTAAGGTTTTGGGACTTTTAGGCGTTTCTTTTTTGGAGGGTTCCAGGAGCTTGGGGATTCTGAACAGCTGCTGTTGGACTGGACTCTGGACTCTTGAGCTTCTCTGGGCCTCATGCCCCAGGCCAAGTGCAAGCTTCTTGCCATCCCCTGCTGCCTGAAGCTCAGTGATGCCTTGAGGGCTGCCGCGAGTCAGACATTCCAAGACATCAAGAATCCCTAAACCCTAAACCCAGGAAGCTAAACAAAAGCCCAAATCATGTATGTGCGATGCTTTCTGTATAAGTATATAAGTGTAGTATATAAGTATAAAGGATGCTGTCTGTATAAGTATATGAGTATGTAAGTATATAAGTGTATAAGTGTATAAGTATATAAGTGTATGTATGTATGTATATATATATATATATACACGTGTATATATATATATATATATATATGTTGTCATAGGATATGCTATATATGACGTGTGATATATTGCATTATCGTTTTTAAGCTTTCCAGTCCCTGTACAGACCACGGCCCCAAAGATTCGAGACACGCGGAAACTTGAAG